TTATATGTGTAGCTTACATTATAGTTCTATTGGACAGTGCTGGGTAGTTAAAAGAGCAGGTTCTAAAATCACACTGCTTTTGGTTCTATCCTAGTCTTTACACTAATAGCTATATAATGCAGAGGAAATTAAAGTCTAAAAGTCATCTAATCTACAAAATGGAGATAATGATTATCATATGATTGTGGTAAGAAGCAAACAAGATACTTATAGTATTTGGCATATATATGCTAAAAGGTCCCAGAATACTTGAAATAAATTGAGTTTCTCCAATCTACTAAATCAATTTCTAATGCCTAACCCCAAAGGGGCTAGGCATCGAGTTAAGCTTTGTGTTCAAGATGTCTACCTTAGTTTGAGAATCTCAAGGATCTAAGAAAAATACTGATCAATCAAGCTTTGGGGTATAAACCTAGCCCTACCTCAACCTTTACTCTTTCTGGGCAATCTCTTCATTGATCTCATCATTTGTCTCATTCTCTACAATCCCTTTTCAAAATCTTCTATTCTCTACCCCTCCCTAATTTTATCCCAATCTTCCTCATTCCTCTAGTTTACTGAGATCAAGGCAGCCATAGCATAAACTCTATCTTCACACACACCTTAACTCCTCCACCCCACTGTGTCTCCTGGTTTCTTAAACGTCTGCATCTCTATCCATACTCTTCTTTCCTCAGTCTTGGGTCAATGTCTCTTCCTCCTAAGCTAACACTTACACCTAGTTTCCTTATCCAGCCTCCCCACAGGAATCTGGCTTTGAAAGCAAAAACAAACAAAAATTCTTCCCTCAACCCTTTTACTCCAATAATTATCTTCTTTCTTTCTTTAGGAAGCCAAAATTTGAATAAGTAACCTATATTCACTGTTACCAATTCCCTATCACCAACTCACTTCTAAAAGCCTTGCAAAATGGCTTATACCATATCCACTGTCAGGGTTTTCTCTTCGAGTTCATCAATGATTTCCCAAAGCACAACTTTGATGATACTCCTTAATTCTCAAGGATCTTTCCATCTGTACTTCTTTGATCTCTTCATGTTTTCTTCACTCTCCTCCCAGAAATATGAGTATATCCAAATCCCTCTCTCCTCTAAGATATCTTAAAACCCAAAGCCTCAGTTACAGGATATCTAAATATATACCCCCAACACAGATCTCTCTCTTCCCAACACATGCATTTTTAAAAATCAGTGTCACTGCCACTTAAAAATAAGTATTTCTAAAACAGAACTTAGGTTCTCCCTCTCCTTCCCTTGCACTAAATTTTGCTATTTTTCTTAACAACACATTGATCTTAGTGATCAAGGTCAAAGATCTTAATCTTCCCACCTCATTTGCACCTCCACTTCCTCCTAATGCAATCCTGTTATTATAGACCCAGTTCCAGGAAGATTTGTAACATGACCCTTTCTGATCACCCAATGGGAAAGATCCTTCACTCCCACTACATTCCTAAAAAACTTGGCTTGCATCACTCACTGGAGGTTCATCACTCCCCTGTCCTGACATATACAACTTTTGAATGCAGGGAATTACATATTTCTGGATGCAACAGAATAATCCGAGTACTTTAATCATGGCAAGCACTTCATTAATACTAATGAAGGGTGATGAAAAATAATTTTATCAGTGCCTTCCTGATGCCAATGTAAACATTAGGAACACGGTCTTCCTTCCCAGCAAGTTACTGCTGCCTTAACTCACTTCCTTTATATACTCTATTTTCATTGGCCTCCATACTGTCCCTTATCTCACCTGTATCTCCTAACCAGACTTTTTTGAACTCCAGGGCAGGGCCTTATTTCCAAGTACCTTCTAACTATCATCATTTATATGACTTGGAGACATCCTAACCTTAACATGTCCCAAACTGATCTCAGAATCTTTCTCTAATTAACCTTCTTCCTGTATTTCTTTTTGATAATAAAAATAGCTAGAACAAGCAACTGTACATATATATATATATATATAATCCTATTTAATCCTCAGAACCTTATGTTTATCATTTCTCTATCACAAATTAGACATAAAAGAGCAATAACTTGTTTAAGATCACACGGCTAGTGACAGATGCACACCTGCACACCTTGGTTTGACTCCAAAGGCCATGCACATTTCACAAGGCAAAATTAGAAACTTTAAAGTCATCCTAGAAATTCTTTCTATATCCTGCCACCAAATCCTATCTACCCTACTACTTAAACATTTCTCAAACTAGTCTTCTCCTTTCTATACCTATAGCTACTGCCTCTGTTCAGCCCCTCAAAATTTCTCCCTTGTACTTTGCAATAACCACCTAACAGATATTTTGCCTGGAATCTCGACCACCTATAGGGTTCTGTCTGTAACTTAAATTTCATCATGTTGCTACCCTACTTAAAATTTTATAAAGACTTCCAACTACTAATCAGGTAAAGCCCAAACTCCTTAACAACTGGACCTCTATCTTCCTAATCTCATCCTACTATTCTCCAAGGCTACAGAACAGTCATACTATACAACTTGTCTCTCACAAGGTTCCCTTTCCCTACAGATGACTTCTAACCATCCTTCCGGAAGTAGTTCGAGTGTCATCTCCGCAAGGAAGACTTTCTTACCAGCTCCAACCCCACCCCCAAGAGATTAAGCATTCCTTCCTCTGTATTTCTACAGCACCTTTTCCTTATTTCTAACCCCAAACTCATCACAGGTTACTCTAACTTATTTTTCTGTCCCTTCCTTCTGGCTCAGAGTTCTCTGAGGACAGAGGTTTTTTATGAGTCTCATATCCCTGGCATAACCTCTGGAACAGAGCAAGCCTTCTACTGTATGTGCAACAAATGACATCTTTTGAAAAGTGTAAGGCTTGATATTAGGCTTACAAGTTACAGCACAGAATATCTGAGAATGTCAGGACTCAGTCTTCCATATCTGCTGAGAGGGAAACTGAACACTGCTGAAAGAGTGCTGATGGCTGGGGAAATCATTAAGGACAATGGTATACCTAGAAAAGAAGCAGAAATCAGACAATACAATGAAATAATTTATTAAAAAAAAAAAAATCTAACACAACTGTTTCACAGAGCCAATAGAAATGCAAAATATAGTCAACATTCTCTTACACCAATTTTGAAATGTTGTTGAAAGCTATTTAAGCAGTACAAATCAAACTTTGCATACTGCCAAATAATGTAATTCAATTTCAAATGACTCCAGATACTCTTGATTTTTTTCCTCTCGGTTCTCAAATAAAATCAATTTTTGGTATCCACATTTCCTCAGCATGTCATACAGATGCCTGACGTGAGCATGTGGAGACACCCAGAATGCCACCAGTAAGAACTGTTAACTGAAAAGTTTGCTCGCACTGCTTGTTATGATGCCACAACATACAGTATTATCACACACCACACTCACAAGACGAGCTGAGTTATGGCTGTAAGGGGTGGGAGTTGATGCCTGGCAAACAGCACCCAGAAGGTCCTGGGGAACCGGCTGTAACAAAGCTCTAAACACGATTTGGTCAAGAAACAGCAACGCCGACGACGAAGCAGCAGAGCCTAGACCGGCTCAAGGCCGCGCTCCACGTGGGCGCGCCCGCCGGCCCCGCGCCCTCCGCTTCCCGCCCCCTAGTGGGGGGAGGGGCTCCACAGAGGCCAGCGGCGCCCGCACACCGACGAGGACTAGGGGGCCCCGAGCCTACGAGAACAGAAGCATGAATGCCATTAGCCACACGACACTACCTTCTTGCTCGCGCGACGTGGGCAATTACCATCCACTAGCCGACCAGGCAGCGTCCCGCCCGCAGCCCAGGGCCGGCCTCGCGGACGCCTGAGTAGCCCTCGGCGCGCGCGCAGCGGCGGAGCACTTAGTCCCGCCCCGCCTGGGGAGCGTGGGATTGGCACTGCACGCAGCCAATCCGCTGGCAGCGCGTTCGGCTCGGAACGCTTCCGCAAGCTCAGTTGCGCTGCTTTGGGGCTGACCACTGGCGTTCAACCGAGAGAAGCGAGAGTCGCTGCGGAGCTGGTCCTGGGCTGAGCCGGCCGCCCCGACTGTGGCGGTGGGTGAGTGGGCACGAACGGCCGCCGCGGCGTGCTGCTGCTTGCGGTGGTAAGGGGCTGCTGGCGGGCCGCAGTCGGCCTCAGGGAGAAGAATGGGTTCTGGCCGCTTCCGCGCGGTGCGGGCCAGGTGGCCCCGGGGGCTTGCACCCCAAATGTTTGTCTCGTGCCTCGGCCCTGACGGACGTGCGGCGCCGAGGAGGAGGGGCGGGCGGGGAGGAGCTGCGG